TCAACAGATTAACCTGATCTAATCTGATTTAATAAAATTTAAATCAATCAGTTATTCTTTTTAAACAATTTATTATTATTCAATTAAAATGATTCATTATTATTTTTTATTATTATTTAATTAGAAAGATATATTATTATTATTTTTGAATGATATATTATCGTTTAATTAAAATGATTTATTATTATTCTAATTAATGATTTATTATCATTCAATTAGAATGATTTATTATTATTTAATTAAAACAATTAATTATTATTCTTTTTGAATAATATATTATCATTTAATTATAATAATACATTATTATAAAACAATACATTATCATTTAATTAGAATAATACATTATCATTCTTTTTAAGCAATTCAGTTAAATCAAATCAGATCAAATAAAAATTAAAATTTTTATTTAACCTGACCTGATTTTCTCAATTCAGATAACTTATTTAAACCAACCTATTCAAAACTCTAATTAAAATTATTTTATTTGTTATCTTTGTTAATATTTTTATATATATATTTATCCTTATATATATAATTTTATATTCACTTTATAAGTTTTATTAAAAAATTTTCTTGAAAAAATATTATAACAAATTTACATATATTTTATATAATAAATTTTTATTTATTATATTTATTATTACATGCCTATTGATATTAATAAACTAATATTTATTTTTTTTTTAATTCTATAAATCCAAAAATTTTAATACAATTAATATAATTTCAATTAATTATGTTGATTGTAAAATGTCTATAAGAAAAAAATAGGTTTGCTACCTGAATCTCCACATTTGATTCTTTATAACCAAATTAAATCATGTTCTTTTTTTAAAGGTTGATCATCTATTGCACCTACTGGCCAATCTACTTCTATATAATTCATAAATGGTGGATAACAATCTATATTTTCTTTTCCAGCCCATTCAAAATCAATCAACATTCCTTTTTTATCAGACTTTCTAACCATTATATTACACATTCTTAGGTCACCAAACACAATATCTTCATTATGTAAAAGTTGAATTGCAGTTTGAATATTATTAAAAACATTATCATCTGGCTTTTCTTGAAGTATATCACCATCAATATATTCCATAATTATCATCTTCCAATTTCCCACATCATTTACAGTAATAAATTTTGGTGCATAACCTTGATTTGCACAAATTTGATGTGCTTCAAAATTATATTTAAGTGAAAATTTAACTATAATAAGTTGTGAATTATTTGTATCAGTCTGTATTTTTGCCAAATAGATATTTGCATGCTCTAGCTTTTTCTTTACTGGTTTGATATATATTATTTTCTGATCTTTATTATTAATTTTCACAGTGTTTTTAGGAAAAAACCATTGAGGAGCAATAGATTCATCAAGATGAAGATTGAAATTGATTTTAGTTGAAACAACTTTATCATAATATTCTTTAAGATTATTAAATCCTCTCTCCAAAGCCCACAAGAGCTGTGCAATAAATTTCATGTTATGAGTATCCATAGATAGCATCAAAGGAATGTAAGGTGTTAATGGATCTACCACTGGTTTTTCAAGCAAAACAGCACCAGAAACCATCATCCAAGATCCAGCAACAGATATAATAAAACCTGGACAACAACATTGTTTACGCCAAAAATCACCTCTATCAGTTGACCAATAATTGAGCCATGAATATACACCTTGGAGATATGGATCCACATGACCAGTTCCTAAATGGATTGATATTAGATCATGAGATTTCTTTGAGAAATGAAAAACAAAAAAGTACTTATTCACTCACCGATTTCATTTTTAAACTCACGGTTTCCAATTAAGGCATCTTTTATGTGATGCAAAAGAAATCCATCACTTAGTCGATCATTTTCTAAAACAATTTTCTTAAAATTATAGAATGGTGAGTCATCAGAAAAACAGTCATCAAAAGCTTTTGTTCTAGCATTTTCATTAGGATAAGTTTTTGACATCTCCTTGCACAGTTTCAATGCAATATCATAATATTTTTTTGGAACTGGTTCTGCATTTTTTAAATCTTGATGAAATTGAACAAAGATATCACAAAACCAAACCACAGGACGTCCAACATACTCTGGTGGTCGGTGGCACATTATATTTGCTTTTCCTTGATTACTTTCAAGGCGATCATAATGAACAGCTGATGATGGCGCATCCACTTTCTTTTCTTTCACTAATTTTATAATCTTATTCTGTACTCCAATTGGGCTTTCCTCTAAAAATAAAAGTCAAATACCGATTATTGGAGGTAAAAAAAATGACATTTAAAGGCATGAAAACAAGTATTGAAAATTTGTTTAATCAAGCAAATTCTTAAAAGCATTATGTAGAATTTTACCTTCCACCTTCCGCTTCTCTCCTTTAGTTTGTATGAAAACATCTTAATAGAGTAACAAATGTATCAATGATATCAAAACCAACGTTAATAATTGCGTAAAAAAAAAAGTTGTAAGCAGTATATCGAATAAATAAA